TACAACCTCGGATGTTTCTTAGTGTGGATTTATGCGGCAGCAGTTTTCCAATTATCAAGTAACAATTATCAATTAACAATTATATCAAGTAAGGAGTAATCTTTGGTAGAAGTACATATTGCTCAAAGTGGAGTGAAATATTTCACAGGAAGGAAGAAATGCTCGAAGTCATCTCTACAAAATATAATGATGTTGTTACATAATCATAAGAGACATGTTTCGGTCCTATAAAAGACCATCTTCAGCCTAATTGTGAATTTTGGAGTTGAAAAAAATGTTTGATGCTACTGTTTCTTGAATTGTTGTCGATGCCCATAGCCATATTTGAATTCTTGGCTAATAAGCATCGACAACAATTCAAGAATCAGTAGCATCAAAAATATGTACATATACCTACCTAGAACATCCGTTTATATTAAGCTGTCCTAGAATTTCTAATGACGCTTATAGCTCAAGCTAATGCCTATAGTCTTGAATCAACTTAGGAAAATAATCTTTAATTTCTCTTGGTTTTGAATTTCAGTTATTGGATTCTCTTAAAATATTATTCAACAAAATATTTTTTCAATTCTGAATACAATTTTGTTGATCGAATTGAATTGTTTCATTGAATGAAAAAACAATTTCGTTATATTCTGAATGTATATCGTTATTTTAACATTCACTCATTCATTAGAGCATCAGATATTGTATTATAGGAGCAAAATAGTCTTTGTTCATTCAACCGTACCGTACCGTCTTACATTCATTCAGATCGAGGAACTGTATTTGTGTCTTCTGAATTAACATTCTATTCACATTCTCGGAGAATAGTTGTTACTAGTATAACAACCCCATACAATCCAGAAGGCAATGGACAGACAGAACGATACAATGTGATCATTTGGAAGACTATCATGAAAGCTAGAAAGAGACGAGCATGAAGACTCAAAACTGGGAGTTAGGAAGACGTGCACCATGAACGAATGTTCACCCACAAGAGAAAATCTTCTAATGGAACAGCTCTGTCCATGTGGCTTAGCACACCTGAAAAAACATGTGAGGCAAAGTAAATTTGATCCTCTCGTAGTAATTATTGAAGCTAATCCAGTATACGCAGTAGTACGTCATGCTGACGGACGATAAACAAATGTTACCTTGAAACACTTAGCGCCACGAGGAAATATGGATACATTAGAGAACTGCGAAAACGCTCCTGGGGATCATAATAATGAACCGATGTTTCAGAAGACAACCACATTTCCAATAATAATGCAGACGCCTGTATTGATGATCAGGTGAATACTTCAAACCATTACCATGAACCCCTCAATGCAGAGGGTATAATATAAAAACCAAGCTGTTCACAAGAAATAGAAAATAATGAAAAACGTTCATATCATATAGGTATACAAGGAATCCACCGAAATATCAGACAGATTATGTTTCGTAAATTGAACCTGAGGAGAAGGTAAAAAAATGTTCATCTCCCTGTATTCTGATAGATAGATAATGTGTTATGAATTTCATGAATTCTTATTGATGTCATGTTGGAATCTTGTTGATTAAAGCCTTATTCCTAGAGGTAATCAATTACAAGCACAATGTGATTGGCATGCTTGCTTTATATCTAAAAAGAGCATGCCATTAAAAAACATATTGAAATGTCATTTCAAAAGTATTGATAAGACAGCCAACGCTGCTGTGATTTTCGTTATAGTATTCAGTATAATGTATGTATAAGAACATCCCCAGACTTGTACGTACTCGAAATATAAGGAAACCCTATTGCATCATTCACAGCAATTGAAGCAATATAATGTTAAGTCTTATGATCTTATGAAAATCTTTATCATTAGTGGTACTACTTAGGAATTCACCTAATTTAACTAGAATTTAAGACAAAATTTGTGAATAAGTTGTTGAATAAAGGAAAAAAAAATGCCTAAGAAACACGATACGTAGTCAAAATAATTGGGAGAAACGTATTCAATTAGTTGTAAACATATAAGAAACGTGAGGATGTAGTTGACTCTTTAGGCTGTTCCAAGGTGCTTTTCTAAGACATTGGAATTATCTGATCCGATTCAGGCCTTGAGCAATCCGTTTGCTCCCTAGCTCCGTGGTACTTTGAGTATCAACCCGTGCCATTCGAGAAGAGAGCTCATTACCTTTCTTCACACGTTGAGTGCCAAGCGACATCTTGCTATAGGCCGTGATTGACTCGATTGATGTGATGAATTTGTGTTGAACATAAGTTTTTGAAAAAGAAAACAAATTCAACGTACGCCAACCATATATTGAAAGAAAACCATAGTTTCGATGATAATTTCGGAATTCTACACGTAGAAAATAAAGGAATGAAACCCAATCATTTTGAATCATAAGAAATCAACACCCAGCAAACATTGAACTAGCGGGAGAAGTCCGGCCTAGTGCAGGCTAGTCTGGGAAAGTGACGATGCCGGGGTATTGGTAATGGGTCGATGATTTTCCTATGCCAAGTAACCATCAGTTGAAAATACGATGATGGCCTTGTGATGATAAGATGTCTGAAACTAATTGAATCCTAACGAGATCTGGCCCTTTGCTGGCCAATTTCATGTTCGCTACTCGTCCTCCTAATGGATGTTCTGGGAACGTCTACATCAACAATCAACTGATCAATATTTTATGTGACTAAGATGGCTGACTCTCGTGAGTGGTGATCGCGTACTAATTTGTTTATGTCGAATTAATGTGGTCCTCTCTTTCCCTGGTGGTTATTTATGATGGCAGGAGTAGGTATTATCAATTGATAATAATAGAAGACGGATTCTTCAATTATGATAATATTGAGTAAGTATCAATCTACCTACATAGTGTTTTGAATTTCTTTATTAAATGCATGTGTTTGGTATCTCGTAACCTCATATACCGAATGATCATGATAATTGGAGTTGGCTATACTCCTCCAAAAGCAACTATCATTTTCAACTCGTTTGTTGCTATCAAAAGCAATTTTAGGTTATGTGCACCTGTCTCTATATGGAAGAACTAAATAATAATAAGGTTCCAGCTACAGAAATACCAGTGTCAAGGAAATAAGTGGAATTGAAAAGCTCCATGTTATCACGTCATCAGACTATATTATCAAGTTATAAACTCATGCAACTCATAGGCCACTAATATATAACTAATGATGCATTTCAGAAGTATGTACCTCACAACGAAGAATCAACTTTGAAGGAATGCCACCCAATAAGATGTATAGATACCACATACCAACAAGTAAGCAGTCACTCCGAGAAGTTTCATCGTTGAAATTGTTGTCTTGGAAACTGGTATGTGTCTGATTCATGATGAGAGGGTTATATAGATGATAGGAGTTCATCTCTTAAAAGTGTTATGTCAGGAGTACCTCAAGGCTCAATTCTTGGTCCTCTTCTATTTTTGTTATACACTGCAGATATTTTTTCTCGAATTAGACATTGCAGGATACAAGCATTTGCGGATGACACGCAGTTATATCATAGAATCGCATCTAATAATATCTTAGTATCCCAAAATCGAATAAATGATGACCTTGAAGTTATAAATACTCTGTCGAACAAACACAATTTGAAGTTGAATCCTGGCAAATGCCATGTCATGTTCTTCGGCAACATAAACCAAAGACAATATGTTTAAGATCATATGAAACTAAAGATAGGTGAACAAATACTTAAATCGGTTGACTCTGTAAAAAACTTAGACATCACTTTCGATGAAGATTTAAAATTTAATGCACATGTAAAACAACTCACGATTAAATCCTATGCCACTATCAAAGTTCTCTATCCACATAGACAAAGCTTGTCCCCTAGCACAAAAAAGCTTCTTTCCCAATCGCTTATCCTTTTAACCATCAATTATGGAGACCCTGTCTATGGTCCTTTCTTGGATTCGGCTAATCAATTTAAAATACAACGTTTGCAAAATTCATGTGTTCGCTTCATCTTAGGGATACGTAAGTTTGAACACATTTCTCAAGCTCGTACCAACCTTGGTTGGGTACCAATGTCCGTTCTCAGGGAATATAACTACTGCAACATCACTTATTCAGTATTGAAATCGAAGAAACCTGTTCCACTATTCAATAAATTGACAAAGAGGTTAGAGCTCCATTCTTTCAACCTTCGAACTAACGAAAACCTTCACATCCCTCGTCATTCGTCAGCCATGTTCAGAAAATCATTTTCCTACTTAGCTGTATTTTTTCACAACACGATTATTAAAGATCTCATGCAATACTCGAAATCCTCATTCAAAAAGAAACTAAAGGCAATATTCAATATGTGATAAAAAAAATTACATTTTTATTTCAAACTGTGTAGCTTGTTGTTTACTACTAGTAATTTGTCACATCAAATAATATTTATTTTTTGTCCAGTTACTCTGATTCCCATAATACATATTAGGTTAAGTGTGAGAGTAGCTTCAGCTGAACTTCGCCTACTATGTAATATTGAAATACTAAATAAAGTCGATTATTATTATTATTATTATTATTATTTTGTGAAATAAAGAGGTACTATAGAACCTTCAGATCCATTTGAACATTTATTTTGCCATGGATTTCCACCAAGTAACGGCCGAGTCAATTCAAAAAATTACAATTTGTTTCATAAATCCCTGACTCATCCTAGTATTACCTCCTCTACCGCTATGAAATCAGATAAAACAATCCCAGTAACCCCTACAGCACCCCGCAATCTCACCCCCGCAAACCCTCGACCACTACGCAAACTAATTGAACACCTAAAGGTAAATACGCAAGCACCTATCATAAAACACAAAAATCCACGCAGATCACACACACAAATCGCACCCCTGCTACCGTAGGGTGCTCAGGGGTGGGATTTATTTATGACGCAACAAGCCATTCGCTCGTCGCTATTGGTCGTCCGCCCAGCATTCTACCCCTAGCTCCGCCTCCCCTGGAACTTTGAAGCGCCAAAAGAACACGGAGAAAAAGTCCACAGTCGATCATAAAGTCATAAGGCCGACAGATTGTGGTAAACGTCACCAGTGTTTCGGACGATTGGAAAGTCATCAATATTCGCGGAGATTTCGATCGGCCTTTTCCGTGGTTGGAAGTGATTTATTGGTGTGGTGCGGATTTATCTTGAGGCCGTGTTATATGAGTTTTGGGCGAGAATGTTGGACATCAAACCTACGGCCGACTACTTGAGTCGGAATTCTTTCGGGCAATTTTCTATGCTCTTTGGTAAATATACTGAACGATTGCACTGTAGTGTTTAGTCAATGGAATTTTTGTTTTTGTTTTGGATTTAGTATTATTGTATTGCAAAACGGCTCTCAATGTAGCAGGGAGACTATTAGGAGGTGGCCACCTGGATCTCCAGGTCTAATCCCACTTGATTGTTATTTATCGGGAGATAACCTATGATCCAGAATCATATATATTTTGGAAAACGTTCAAACATTATATTTTGTTTGTTTCATGTCATTTATGTACAGGGTGATTGTTTGTATTTTATTCAGTGGCTATCTCACTTGATGTTGGTTTTATGAAAACGTTCAAATGGGCAAATATAAATTACTTTTTTGAGCATTCGGAATTCAGTTCTAGAAAATACAAAACAAACATCGTAAAATTAAAACTGTTTAATATCCTGGTATTTTTGCACACACTATGTCAGATTTTCTCAAACGGTAGAGCTTGTTCTTTTAATTTCAAATATATATACTTCATTGAGGTTATCTTCTGTCAGTTCTTGAAAAATATAGATTTCTTCCTGATTTTTGGCGTTCTACAGCTGCTTTAGAACCCATATTTTTCGAAAACTGACAAGGATAACCTCAATAAAGTATATATATTTGAAGTCAGAAGGACGACCTCTATCGATTAGAATAATAAAATACAGGGTGTTTTATTAAAAAAATACTAGTATAATAATAATATTTAGGTCCACGAAGCATTCTTGCATAATCTTCTAATAAATTCCGAATGCATATAAAAAACTTCAGATTTGGTCATATGAAAGTTTTTGTAAGACCAATATTAACTGAGATAGCTAGCGAGTAAAATGTAAACAATCACCCTGTACAATGCAGGTACATCATCTGAAGACTGAAGAGTGAAGTTTGGACCATATTAAGCATACTGAACTGAAAAAAATGAAGAAACTCTCTTTTTTGGGTACGCTGTGTCCATGAATTGTGTTGATGTTCAAATTTAGACAATTATTTATTGTTTTATATCCATCGCTATTTATTTGTTATGTTGGCTGATGATTTTATTTCAATAAGTATGTGTAGTAAATACAAAACAGATGATTTGCCCAAGATGTGGCAAGGTACGTTCAACAATTTCACTATTAGAAAACCCAAAAGAGAAATTGGATCGTTAGTCAGTGATAACTTGTTTTGGAAAATGTATCGGAAAAATATCGTAAATTTTAGTAAGCTTCGGAGACAAATCTGCTTCCGTTTCCAACATAAAAAAGGAAGATTATTCTGACAGCAGTTTTTTTCTGTTTCGCGTTTTGACACTTCTCAGTGACATAAGTTGAAAGACAAATGTGTGAGATACAGGGTGTTTTTTTTAATTGATCTTGAATTAACCATTTTCATACTAAAACAGAAGTGAATACAATGTTCTATCCATATAACTTCCTTTATTGAAAACAGGAACAGATTCGGTTCCTCTGAACGTCCAAATAAGATGAATGAGGAGTTGAAATTGTTTCGATATACCGATAGGTACAGTCGTATTCAATAAAAAAGAGTACAAGTATTAAAAAGAGAGGATTTCGGGATCCTAGTTCTAGTTGTGTAAAACTGGCTCAGCCAATGCTTTGTGTTTTTGAGAACCTATGACAACTTTACTGTCAACATTTGGTGAACAATCATTCCCGATAGCCCGTTCCATGCAGAATAGGGATGTCGTTAATTCGTCTCTATAATATACTTGTACGCTTTTTTTTTGAATGCGACTGTACCTCAATAATTCTTCATCCCCAAACTTTTTTCAGAATGAGGTGTCAAAGAAATTTTAAACTCAAAACTCAGTGTTATTTTATGGAATATCATCTAATTTGTCCCTAGTAGTTATACACATATATTGAAAAAAACAATCATATTTCCATTCATATAGAAACGAGGAGAGAAAATCCCAAGAGATCTAAAGAAATCAATCAATATGCTCATTATCAACTGTCGATGTTGTGTCTTCGTTTTTTTGAACATTTCACTCCACTTCGTGATTGAATAAACTTCTAACTTATACCTGAAAACAAAATATCATTCAATCGTTATTTACAAATCAAATAATTATTTAGTTATTCATATTGATGTGGAATGTAGCAATAGTTTTTTGTTTCAGATACATCATACAAAGGATCATGGGCTTCTCATTCATCATCACAAACACAAGGTATGCAATATTGAAATACGATTGAAATATTAGAATTCAACTTGTCAATCAAGCCCTAATTTCAAGATGAATCTTGCAATTATCTCAATTGGCAGGATAATCAGTATATAATTGAATAGTCTTGCATCTATAACTTTGACCAAATAGTTATTTGTTTTACTAGGCAGAAAAGTAGTAGATTGACTGCCGCGGCTGATAGTTGTAAAGTGGCACTTCACCCTCCGCGGACTACTTTATCGCCCGGCGTCATAACTCGTAATAGGCATTCATGTATAATTCAGGACATAATGTTTCAATTGTGATGGTTCCTTATCTAATATTAGAGTTCTCTTGGTATTTCTGAGATTCAAAATGGCATGATCGGAACCTCGGATCGAACCCAAAATTGGTCTGCAATGACATTATTTGACAGCGAATATAATAGTCTATAGTCCAATCAAGATGTACAATTGTACAGCCGTGCTTGCAATCCGGTCATTCTGAATTTTTTATATGTTGTTAGGACCTAAACCAATATTGAAAAACCAGATTTGCAATTTCAAAGTGCTGTGCGAGTTACGGTATACCCAAAAAAACCATGAAATTTTCGGACTTCTTTCAGTTTTCGCTCAATATCTTGGAGAATAATGGGTTTGACCACTATAGTCACCCCATAAACTTTTTAAGAAAACTAAATTTGCTAAAATTCGAGGCGAGCTCCATACAGCTATTGGTTCCCAAGATACAGTTCTTCGAAAATAAACAATTTTTTCGAAAAAGTAGTAAAAAATTATTCTGTGAATCATCTTCTAAAATACGCTTCCCACGTCAAATATTATGTGGAATGAAGTTGTACTAAATTCAATCAGCTGTCATTTGAGTCTGGACTGGTATCTGTAGGCCTAGCGGTTCTCTCAAAAACGGTTGATAACCAAAAACAGTCATAAGTGGGGTTTGAGGATGTAGATCGGGAGATCGTCATGACGGCGCTTTCAAAACGAGCAATAGCCGATTGGGTCGTCATAATGGGAGGAGACGTCGACCCGCTCGTTCTTCTCAATGGTTTAGGCGCTGAAGAGACAATCGTCTATCTTCAGAAGAGCACGAAAAGCGAAGCTAGTTGCTGTCATTTCTCTACGAACTCCTACAACCGCCAGGACTCCCAGCGATCACCAGGGACGGTACTATTCACCAACGCATTCACTGGGTGCGATACTACCACAGCGCCGTTTGGCCAAGGAAAGACCAAATTCACTACACTCCTGAGCAAGAGTGAACCATTTGCTGAGCACGTGGAAGTCTTTCTTCGGCCAGACTCCACCCCACAAGCCATGAGAGAAGCAGGGATTAAATGTTTTGTGACTCTATATGGGGGTGATATCGCGAAGGATACTTTGGATTTCCTGATGTATAAGAAGTTTGTTACTTCAACGAGCATAAACCTCGCTCGATTGCCACCGACGAAAGATGCCGCAGGCCACCATGCAGCAAGGTGCTACCTCCAAGTGCAGAAGTGGCTGGGAGTAAAGTTGAGTCCTGGAAGCTGTTCGGGCAGAAAGGCAGGGCTCCACTGCTCTGTCCTCTGCCAGTCATGCGGTGGCGAATTGTGCACCAACGTCCCGGATGTAGAGCTGAAATACTCGGATGATGAAGATGCTGACCCGACTACCGATTGGGCGCCTCTCCCAGCATTCATCACAGCCATCGAGACACCATCTTCGTGCGAGCCCAAGCCCAGGCCATCAAAGATGAAAAGAAAGTCATGATTTGGCTACCTGACGCACTAACTACATGTTTTATATTAGTTTTATTTGATGTTTACGTTGATGTAATTTGTACCATGATGTTTGTGCAAGCATTTTAGTATGTAGGTATATATAAAACAACGTTTGATAATGACGTTATTCCTGAAAGATATACAGGGTGAATTTCCCTTTTCGCATGCGCCCTGTACAACCGTCCTAACAGTTGTGAGGGAAGTAGCGCTGGTAAATTGCGGCGACTCTGTACGGATTGTCTAAAGATTCCTATGTCACGGCACGGCGAGTTTTTCGAAAATTGGGGACACCACTGTCCGACAAAATCGCCAGTTCTTACGCCCCTCGATTTTTTGTGGGGCTGGGGATATGGAGCATCGTCTACTAAGATCCTCCAGCCACTACGGAGAAGTTAGTCCTATTGAAATAGGAATATGTGTCTCTGATTCAAGAGAATCATTGGAGGAGTGCTATGAGAAGGATGGACGACATCGGACAACATTGTGTTTAAAAAGTGGAATTCGCATCCCTGTACTTTCATACCATATTGAGAAAGTCACCCTGTATTATCTTTTCCATTTTTCATCAAACAATTCTTCAATAATAACAAAAATAAATGAATTGTGACTGTTTGATAAATAGAAAATAACAAGACGTGAGAACATTTCATTCGCATTATTCCCCAAAACCCACTTATGACTGTTCTTGGATATCTGTCGTTTTCGAGAGAACCGTTGGGCTCACAGATACCAATCTGGTCTCAAAACAAATCTTATTGAATTCTCTCCAACTTCATTATATATGATATTTCATGTGGGAAGCGTATTATAGAAGATAACTCACAAGATATGTGACCATTTTGAAGAAATTTCACTTTTTCGAAAAAATTGCCTATTTCCAAAGAACTGGGAACCAATAGCTGTATGGGGCTCATCTTGGCCTCTAATTATAGCAAATTTAGTTTAATTCAAAAGTATAAATGGTGACTATACCGGTCAAACCCTTCCTTCTCTAAGATATTGAGCAAAAACTGAAAAATATCCGAAAATTTCATTGTTTTTTGGATATACCTTCGCTCGTACAGCAGTTTGGAAATCGCAAATCTGATGGTTTTTCAATATTGGTTTAGGACCTAACAACATAAAAAAAATTCAGAACGACCAGACCATTTGCAAGCACGACCCCCTTTTCATTTTTAATTTTACTGAACTAGCAAATCAAAGTCTGGATCCAACCATGGATGACATAAAATAATTATGGCTGCACTTGTCAGAATGAATCACTTATTTATAATAAATGCTTCTTATGCTTCGTGAACGTGAAATATTCTAGCAAAATACCACTCTGTTCTGAATACCTTCTCATAATTCTGTCTTTCATTGTTAACTCAATTGCGCTAGCGTACAGCAATATACACTCATCCTGACGGACTCGTGGTGTTGATCGACAACACAATTTCGTGAAAAATGAAGCGACAGAATTATCTCGAAATTTCAGAACATCGTGATATTAGTTATGATAAGTTTGTGATAAGTAAGTTCAAGAACAAATAGTGTTAGTGTTCACTCATCCACGAATAACGTTACGATCCTATTGCATGATTTGTCTATTTCATTTATGTTTGTCGTTGAAAAACTGTCACTGGAAACCGTACGGAAGTAACATAAAATGAGCGAAAATTGGCCATCAGTAAGTTATCGTCTGCACTTGAAGTCCGACAGAGTGCAACAGAACACAAAGGAAAATGGCGAGCATTAACCGAAATCCGGGAAAATCCGGTCCGGGTTTCGAATTTCCTGCGCTGCAGCGAGAGATTCCGATTCCGCGAACGTAAAAAGCCGACAACGTAGAAATCCACAAATTTTATTTTCGAGGAAATTTGTATTAGCCGATTTGTCGTGTTCGGCTATCTGGTTTGTGTAGCGGATTTTACGTCATTTATTTTTACATTTTCTTCCGTCGCGGCGTTTCCATTTCCTCTCTAAACAGCTTTTTCATCGCGTCCCGACGGTCGACGGGTGTAAATGGAATTTTCAATTATCGTACGCGTTCTGGAAGCAATAAATAAAAAGACGTCAGGATTGCCGTTAATTTAGCACCGAGTGGTATCGAATGAAAATATAAAAATTAATTCGTATAATCCTTTTTCCACAGGTCCTCCTTATGAAGATAGACACACCTGAATATGCCACTAGAGATCGGTTTTTCCTAAATAACTAACCTAGAAATTCATTATATGGTCAGTGACACCCTTCCTGTTCAGTTGATATACAGGGTGTTTCATTATTGTTGTAAAAAAAGGCTAGATACCTTGCAGGAAAATTAGAAAATGATAACCCAAAACTTTTTTCAAGGAGGACCAGTATTTCTTGAGGTAGAGTGTTTCAAAAGAGATGTGCTCCCGAACTAACACCTGTTCTCTGCAAGTTGCTCAACTACTCTTACAAATTGGGGATATTCCCGTCCAACTGGAAAATTGCAAGAGTGCAACCAGTTCCTGAAAAAGGCAAAAAGACCACACCTAAGAACTACAGACCGATTGCACTGATATCTATTATTTCAAAGATCATGGAGAAAGCTATCAACATCGAGCTCATGAAATACCTGGAACATTCTGGTATCATCAACGATAGGCAATATGGCTTCCATCATCAGAGATCAACTGGTGACCTGCTCGCTTACGTCTCACATATATGACAGCAATCTATTGAGAAATTTGGTGAAACCTTAGCCGTGGCACTTGATATCTCCAAGGCATTCGATCGAGTCTGGCACAACGGACACCTCGCCAAGCTTCCATTTTATGACTTGCCTCCCCATGTTCTCTGCTAGCTAGTTTCCTCTCAAACAGGTCCCTGTAGAGGTCGACGGAAATTTATCTGACTCTCTAATCATAAATGCTGGTGTTCCGCAAAGATCAATTCTAGCACCAACACTATTCCTACTCAATATCAACGATTTGTTGGAAGCAACTTCATGTCCAGTACACAGCTTCGCGGATGATAGTATACCCTTCATACCGCCTTCTCTTCCAGGGCTCCAATACCAGCCAGGCAAATCAGAAACGAACGAAGAAGAAATGTTGACAACATAAATATGGACTTGGCAACAATTCTCGAATGGGGATCCAATAATTTGGTAGATTTCAATGCAAACAAAACACAAGCATGCCTTTTCTCTAGAAAAGCCGATCTCACTGTGCCCAACATAAGCTTGTCAGGAGTAGCCATACCTTTGAAGACATCCATTTCGATGCTTGGTATT